TTTCGACATTTACCTGAAGAAGCCAAAGAGGTTGGCCACAAACGGTTCAGTTATAAAAATTGGATTTGCAATCAAGAATTTTGCAAGCGGGGCCATTAGAGGAACAAGACAAAGTAATGTGGAATTTATGCTTAAAGGTCCAGAGGCGAAAAGCTCCACCTTAGCATGTCTGAAGTATTTTACAAACCCCATTTCATATCATGTCCAAAACTGATTACAATGTTTTCTAACTCCTAAACTAACTTGATTATAAATAAATATGTCAAACAGCACAAGGCCTAAAATTGAGCTCTGGAATTCCTCACTTCCTCTCAATCAGATCTGGAGCCTTTAATAAGCCCTTGTTGGGTTTGATCTCTCCACCAGCTCTATCTGTCATGGTAGTGTAGTCCAGCCACAGGTTGCCTTCTTCTTCTTCAGCAGGATTTCACTGATATTTGTCAAATGATTTGCTGAAGTCAAATTACATAATGTCCACTGCATTTCCATAATCAACTACATCAGACAGAGTGTCAAAAAATATCAGGTTGATTTGGGGTCACCTCAAATCCTTAATGGTCCTGCTAAGCACTAAGATATGATGGTCTGAGATGGCCCCATGAGCTCCTTTGAGACTCCTGACAACCTTCCTTGGAGACTTCAACTCACCCATGCTCTCTCTGTCTCTGTCTCCATCTCTGTCTCTCTCTGTCTGTCTCTGTCTGTCTCCCTCTGTCTGTGTCTGTGTCTGTGTCTGTGTCTTTGTCTTTGTCTCTCTCTCTCTCTCTGTCTGTCTGTCTGTCTGTCTATCTGTCTGTCTGTCTGTCTTTCTGTCTGTCTGTCTGTCTGTCTGTCTGTCTGTCTTTCTCTCTGCCTCCCTCCCACCCTCTTGTCTCCTGGTTCCTGCTGGTGATTCTTCCCAGCTCCATCTGGAGTCTTGGGAGAGAAGACCCAGAGAAGCAGCAGCTCTGCTCTTTGCCTCTTTCTTCTTCATCTCCAAGCAGGTCCTCCTGGCACCAGATCCAGTCTTTCCTTTCCCTTCCTTGGACCACTGACCCAGCCAACCCCCCCTTTTCCTTTGCTTTTATCTTCTCTTGTGTTCTAGTTGTGCCTCAGATTACCCATTTGCTGGTGCATCTCCTTGGTGACAGAATGGGCTACAAGAGGACACAGGAGGAAGAGCCTCAACCTAAATGAAGATCAGATGAAAAATAAAATGTGTCCAAATCAGAAATGAAATTTGAGGAAGGGTCTCAGACCTAAGGACTTTTTTCCCCTTCAGAAAAATGAAGAGAAGGAGGTGGATTCATCCTTGCAAGGTCCTGTTACTTTGCAATAAAAGTAATGTAAGAATTTCCTGGTATTTCATCCTGATTTGCTGAAGACACATGCAGATGGTTAACATCCCATAACAAGCATGGGGGGT